GATCACTCCAGTCACTCACCGGTTCACTCCAGTCACTCAACGGTTCACTCCAGTCACTCACAGGTTCACTCCAGTCACTGACCGGTTCACTGCAGTCACCCACCGGTTCATTACAGTCACTCACAGGTTCACTACAGTCACTCACCGGATCACTCCAGTCACTCACCGGTTCACTCCAGTCACTCACCGGTTCACTCCAGTCACTCACAGGTTCACTCCAGTCACTCACAAATTCACTCCGGTCACTCGCCGGATCACTCCAAGTCACTCACAGGTTTATTCCAGTCACTCACCGGATCACTCCAGTCACTCACTGGATCACTGCACTCACTCACAAATTCACTCCAGTCACTCACAGGTTCACTCCAGTCACTCACCGGATCACTCCACTCACCGGTTCACTCCAGTCACTCACCGGTTCACTCCAAGTCACTCACAGGTTCATTCCAGTCACTCACTGGTTCACTCCAGTCACTCACCGGATCACTCCAAGTCACTCACGAGCTCACTCCAGTTACTCATCGGTTCACTCCAGTCACTCACAGGTTCACTACAGTCACCCACCGGATCACTCCAGTCACTCACCGGATCACTCCACTCACCGGTTCACTCCAGTCACTCACCGGTTCACTCCAAGTCACTCACAGGTTCACTCCAGTCACTCACCGTTTCACTCCAGTCGCTCACAGGCTCACTCCAGTCACTTACAGGTTCACGGCAGTCACTCACCGGTTCATTCCAGTCACTCACAGGTTCACTCCAGTCACTCACCGGTTCACTCCAGTCACTCGCCGGATCACTCCAGTCACTCACCGGATCACTCCAAGTCACTCACAGGTTCATTCCAGTCACTCACCGGATCACTCCAAGTCACTCACAGGTTTATTCCAGTCACTCACTGGATCACTCCAAGTCACTCACAGATTCACTCCAATCACTCACTGGATCACTCCAAGTCACTCAGCAATCACTCCAAGTCACTCACAGGTTCATTCTAGTCACTCACCGGATCACTCCAGTCACTCACCGGTTCACTCCAGTCACTCACCGGTTCACTCCAGTCACTGACAGGTTCACTCCAGTCACTGACCGGTTCACTCCAATCACTGACAGGTTCACTCCAGTCACTCAGGTTCACTCCAGTCACTCACCGGATCACTCCAGTCACTCACAGGTTCACTCCAGTCACTCACCGGATCACTCCAGTCACTCACCAGATCACTCCAGTCACTCACCGGATCACTCCAGTCACTCACCAGTTCACTCCAGTCACTCACCGGTTCACTCCAGTCACTCACCGGTTCACTCCAGTCACTGACTGGTTCACTCCAGTCACTGACAGGTTCACTCCAGTCACTCAGGTTCACTCCAGTCACTCACCGGATCACTCCAGTCACTCACCGGTTCACTCCAGTCACACACAGGTTCACTCCAGTCACTCACCGGTTCACTCCAGTCACTCACCGGTTCACTCCAGTCACTCACTGGTTCACTCCAGTCACTCACAGGTTCACTCCAGTCACTCACAGGTTCACTCTAGTTACTCACCGGATCACTCCAGTCACTCACCGGTTCACTCCAATCACTCACAGGTTCACTCCATTCACTCACCAGTCCACTTCAGTCACTCACAGGTTAACTCCAGTCACTCACCGGATCACTCCAGTCACTCACCGGTTCACTCCAGTCACTCATCGGTTCACTCCAGTCACTCACCGGTTCACTCCAGTCACGTACAGGTTCACTCCAGTCACTCACTGGATCACTCCAAGTCACAGGTTCATTCCAGTCACTCACCGGATCACTCCACTCACTCACCGGATCACTCCAAGTCACTCACAGGTTCATTACAGTCACTCACCGGTTCACTCCAGTCACTCACCGGATCACTCCAAGTCACTCACAGGTTCACTCCAGTCACTCACCGGATCGCTCCAAGTCACTCACCGGTTCACTCCAGTAACTCACCGGTTCACTTCAGTCACTCACCGGTTCACTTCAGTCACTCACCGGATCACCCCAGTCACTCACAGCTTCACTCCAGTCACTCACCGAATCACCCCAGTCACTCACCGGTTCACTCCAGTCACTCACCGGATCACTCCAGTCACTCACAGGTTCACTCCAGTCACCCACCGGATCACTCTAGTCACTCACCGGATCACTCCAGTCACTCACCGGATCACTCCAGTCACTCACCGGATCATTCCAGTCACTCACAGGTTCACTCCAGTCACTCACCGGTTAATTCCAGTCACTCACCGGATCACTCCAGTCACTCGCAGTTTCACTCCAGTCACTCACAGGTTCAGTCCAGTCTCTCACCGGATCACTCCGGTCACTCACCGGATCACTCCAGTCACTCACCGGTTCTCTGCAGTCACCCACCGGTTCACTCCAGTCACTCACCGGTTCATTCCAGTCATTAACAGGTTCACTACAGTCACTCACCGGATCACTCCAGTCACTCACCGGATCACTCCAGTCACTCACCGGATCACTCCAGTCACTCACCGGTTCACTCCAGTCACTCACCGGTTCACTCCAGTCACTCACAGGTTCACTCCAGTCACTCACCGGTTCACTGCAGTCACCCACCGGTTCATTACAGTCACTCACAGGTTCACTACAGTCACTCACCGGATCACTCCAGTCACTCACCAGTTCACTCCAGTCACTCACCGGTTCACTCCAGTCACTCACAGGTTCACTCCAGTCACTCACAAATTCACTCCGGTCACTCGCAGGATCACTCCAAGTCACTCACAGGTTTATTCCAGTCACTCACCGGATCACTCCAGTCACTCACCGGATCACTGCACTCACTCACAAATTCACTCCAGTCACTCACAGGTTCACTCCAGTCACTCACCGGATCACTCCACTCACCGGTTCACTCCAGTCACTCACCGGTTCACTCCAAGTCACTCACAGGTTCATTCCAGTCACTCACTGGTTCACTCCAGTCACTCACCGGATCACTCCAAGTCACTCACGAGCTCACTCCAGTTACTCATCGGTTCACTCCAGTCACTCACAGGTTCATTACAGTCACCCACCGGATCACTCCAGTCACTCACCGGATCACTCCACTCACCGGTTCACTCCAGTCACTCACCGGTTCACTCCAAGTCACTCACAGGTTCACTCCAGTCACTCACCGTTTCACTCCAGTCACTCACAGGCTCACTCCAGTCACTTACAGGTTCACGGCAGTCACTCACCGGTTCATTCCAGTCACTCACAGGTTCACTCCAGTCACTCACAGGTTCACTCCAGTCACCCACCGGATCACTCCAGTCACTCACAGGTTCAATCCAGTCACTCACCGGTTCACTACAGTCACTCACCGTTTCACTCCAGTCGCTCGCAGACTCACTCCAGTCACTTACAGGTTCACGGCAGTCACTCACCGGTTCATTCCAGTCACTCACAGGTTCACTCCAGTCACTCACCGGTTCACTCCAGTCACTCGCCGGATCACTCCAGTCACTCACCGGATCACTCCAAGTCACTCACAGGTTCATTCCAGTCACTCACCGGATCACTCCAAGTCACTCACAGGTTTATTCCAGTCACTCACTGGATCACTCCAAGTCACTCACAGATTCACTCCAATCACTCACTGGATCACTCCAAGTCACTCAGCAATCACTCCAAGTCACTCACAGGTTCATTCTAGTCACTCACCGGATCACTCCAGTCACTCACCGGTTCACTCCAGTCACTCACCGGTTCACTCCAGTCACTGACAGGTTCACTCCAGTCACTGACCGGTTCACTCCAATCACTGACAGGTTCACTCCAGTCACTCAGGTTCACTCCAGTCACTCACCGGATCACTCCAGTCACTCACAGGTTCACTCCAGTCACTCACCGGATCACTCCAGTCACTCACCAGATCACTCCAGTCACTCACCGGATCACTCCAGTCACTCACCAGTTCACTCCAGTCACTCACCGGTTCACTCCAGTCACTCACCGGTTCACTCCAGTCACTGACTGGTTCACTCCAGTCACTGACAGGTTCACTCCAGTCACTCAGGTTCACTCCAGTCACTCACCGGATCACTCCAGTCACTCACCGGTTCACTCCAGTCACACACAGGTTCACTCCAGTCACTCACCGGTTCACTCCAGTCACTCACCGGTTCACTCCAGTCACTCACTGGTTCACTCCAGTCACTCACAGGTTCACTCCAGTCACTCACAGGTTCACTCTAGTTACTCACCGGATCACTCCAGTCACTCACCGGTTCACTCCAGTCACTCATAGGTTCACTCCAGTCACTCACTGGTTCACTCCAGTCACTCACGGTTCACTCCAGTCACTGACCGGTTCACTCCAGTCATTCACCGGTTCACTCCAGTCACTCACCGGTTCACTCCAGTCACTCACCTGTTCACTCCCGGCACTCACCGCTCCACTCCAGTCAGTCACAGGTTCACTCCAGTCACTCACCGGATCACTCCAGTCACTTACAGGTTCACTCCAGTCACTCACCGGATCACTCCAGTCACTTACAGGTTCACTCTAGTCACTCACCGGATCACTCCAGTCACTCACCGGTTTACTCCAGTCATTCACTGGATCACTCCACTCACTGGTTCACTCCAGTCACTCACCGGTTCACTCCAATCACTCACCGAATCACTCCAGCCACTCACCGGTTCACTCCAGGCACTCATCGGTTCACTCCAGTCACTCTCTGGATCACTCCAGTCACTCACCGGTTCACTCCAGTCACTCACTGGATCACTCCACTCACTAGTTCACTCCAGTCACTCACCAGGGGTCAGTTATCGCCTCAATATTCTTCTTTCTCTACAAGCATGATTACCGTTTCCATGAACTTCGGTCTTTGATTATCTCTCCTGCCAGGATGAGGACTCGGTTTACCAGAACTGACAGATTTGTGGCACTCGACGCATTTATATCACTTTCAACTTTGATTGTGCTGTATTAATAAATTGCGAATTTTTGTCATTAATATTTTCAGGTATTAGTGCTGTTTTCTGATGGATTGGACCAGGATGTGCCTGCCCTGCAGAGAAGTATTGAAAACCTCAAACGAGTGGGTAAGAACCAGATACCCATCAAATCAATGGAAAGCTGGTATACTAGCACATTATATGCTTTTTCAGATAATCTAGGCTTTAAAAAAAACTTGATTGCCCTTTTCAGATTCTTTCTAAATTACCTTTCAATGCACAGGTGAAAAGTTGATAAATTAATTAAGACAACAGTTTCGAATAACAGTGTAATAGCCCCCGACGTTTCACATTATTGCGCGCTGTGACTTCACAAGACTCACTGCACTGCTCGGTACGATGTTTGTGGTGGCATCGCGCCCCTCCGGGTTGCTGGGACACATCGGGAAAAAGGTATACCAGGGAGCTGGGATTTTGTCGGTTGTTGCTGCGTGAAAATGTAAGACACAGGTTCCGGGACTGGATGGGCAGCATAGACAGTACCTGTGGGGGCCGCTGTCCCCCGCCTCCACCGAATTGGCGGGGCCGCTGTCCCCCGACTCCTCCGTCACAATCGCGCTGCTACCCCCCGACTGCTCTGTCGGGTTCGGGCTACCGACCCCCAATTCCTCGCCCCCCTGTACCCCTGACTTTGTTGCTGCCCGCGTGGGCATGATCCGCGGCTGGCGCTTAGCCCCCCGGGATCCGTTCGCACACACGCCCTACGTGCCCAGGCACTAACAAACCCCACTCCGCTACCTGCCCGGCTCCGTACACCAATCACACGCGAGGGACTTGGGGTCAGGGGTTAGAGGGCAGGGGCGTCCACCGCGCGCTCGCCGCCGATTGGCGGGGACACCTCTGAGCCGATTTAAGGACCGCTTAAACAGCCATGTGTGTACGCGAACACTAGACGCTACACTCTCCTCTTTACCGTAAACAGTCGCGCATGCACGCGAGCACAAAGCCCTCTAACCTTCTCTTCACACTCACAAGACTACACGACACAGTTTATCCTCTGCTGGCGGCTTTATTCCCCACGAATAACCTGCTAAACTATGCGTGTTTATGTGGGTCAGCAGACTCTAGCCTATCCCTCGGGGTTCCTGGACTCAATTTATCCTGCCTGTCCCACCGCTTTATACCCTCTGATTAATTAGCCCACACTCACCTTACTCCCAATCTGATGCGCTGGGAGCTGTGTAAGGCGATGCTGTGCGTCGACTCCGTGGAGAATTGGGCCTGGCTGTGTTGACTTCGTCACACGGACGACTCGAACGGTTGGCCCCAACACTCCGCTGCTCTCGATGCCTTGAAGGACTTCCTCCTTACTGCCTAAATCCCCTCCTTTTATCCTACCTACAACAAAGGAGTTCCGCTGTTTCGCCCCCTTGGCCTCCCGTCCAATCAGGGGCCCGGATTTTCCCGCTCTTTTGATAGTCGGATCCCAGCTTTGGTGACGTCACCGCAGTGGTCCCCTCGACATCCGATTTCTGCTCCTCCCGCTACCGGGATTTTCCCGCTCTTTTGATATTCGGATCCTAGCTCTGGTGACGCTGCCGCAGTGGTCCCCTCGACGTCCGCTTTCTGTTCTTCCCACTATCAGCCCACTGACTCGTGTTGTGTGTGCGCGCTTCCATCCGCGGTGGCTCAACAGCCCCTGCCGTGACCATGCCATTACAATCCAAGGTCACGGCGCCGCGGTGCCCGTCAGCCTCTGGGGTAGGTCGCCCAATTCCCCGGCCGTAGGAAACCATGAAGCTTGATCCCAGTAGGGGCTTCTGGACGAAAACCCGTCGGCCAGGTGACCTTCCCCCCTGGCTCTACGTAGAGTATGCGTGCATTCATGTGGGGGGCGGCGAGGGGCGCGCAGCGTCGGTGTCGTCACCCCCCGGTGGCGGCGTCACGGCGGTGGGCACGGCCCCGATGGAGCGGCTCCGCTGTGGCGGCAACCACATACCGCACCTATCAGTAAAACCGTGCGTACAAGATGGGTGGATCATTGTATTGGCAACGAAACGTAGGGTTTCGTTGCCAATACAATGATCCACGTGTGTTTTTTGGTTTGTGACCTATTGGTTGATTCTTGTACACGACGTGTGCCTCCGTCACACTCCCGGGCGTGCCGCGTTTGAGTTTAGGGCCCCTATGACTTTTGCAAGGCTGCCGCCGGCCCGCTCGCACGGCCGGCGTCACAGGTCTGACAACGGCTTGCTTAGACACGCAGGCGGGGAACGTCACCCCAATGGTGATAATTTAATATCTGAATCTTGTAACTCGCACAGTTTTTCGCTCACTCTCGTGGAGAGAGAACGACTCGGAGGTAGGTGCGAGGAGGAACCCACAGACGAGCGGGAAGGCAGTCAGGCGGTGAGCCGGTGCCCCCCCCCCCCTTCCAAGCTCTGCGGTCCTCTATGTATCGGCCATTTCATGACTCTTTACATTTGGGAGGAAACCGGAACACCTGGACAAAACCCCACACGTGCGAGGGGACAACACTCTATCCTATGCAGATGGAACAGGTGGAGTCAACATTTGCCGTCTCGCCTTCTCCTGGCAGGCCAGGGTCATGGCACCTCGATGCCCACGGGAAGGGAGATTCACGACATTTGTGTGATCCACCAACCCTCGCCGCCTCCAGAGCGCGGCGTTACAAGCCGCGTGCAGAGCCAGCACCGCCCGGCTGGCCATGCAGAAGCATCAGGCTAGAGTAGTGCGTTCGGTGGCAACTTAAATGTCGCAACTTTTGTTTTCGTATTCGATGTTTCCTGTGTTCACAGTTTGGATTTTGTTTGCAATGTCACAACCGTTTGTTGCGCTGTGTAACTGCTGCTTTAAATGAGGACTTCTCTGCCACGTCAAAATTTCGGCTGTACCAGTTATTACATATGAAGAATATCCAATATTACTGCAACTCTTATGTTTTGTATTTAAAAAACAAATAATACTATTGGTTATTATGAAATGCTTACTCTATTTAAAGATTTGCTTATGATTACTGGCATCCAGTTCAGTAGTGTGCATAGTTACTGCACATGCTTTATAATGGCTTTTTATCATCTGTGAATAAGTGGAAGGTACTTTTGACATATCAATGACAACACAGTACATCATACCCTACCTCTATTTGTCTAGGTGTACAAGCCTTGATTACAGTGGACTTGCGGACATCACAGGACGAGTCCCTGCACGAGTTAGAGTTTGGCAGAGGCCTAAGATATCAGCGCCACCTGCAGCTCAACATGCATGAGTTGGGCATCTCTCTTGCGGAGGAGTTGGTGAGTACTGCCAGCATCACCACCATCATCACCATCCCCATGATGTATCCACTGCTGGCTTAAGGCCGCCCCAAGGCTTTGCCATCCCTCTCAGTCTTCCAATGCAACAATCCATCTTTCCTTCCACACACAAGCCGACTTATACACTTTATCCTCTTTTTTTTAGTTTTTGTGATTTGCTTACCTTTCCTATACTTTTCACTTCTATCGTGTTTTTGTATTGTTTGTTGTTGTAACTTTATGACCCGCCTTAATGTCTCCGTCTCCGCGTTGGACGTCCTTGAGGGCGCATTGCCATGCACACTGCGTCAGCAGGTGGCTGACACAGTGTGCACAGCGTCATAGCCACCCCACATTCCCACTGAGTGCATTACCATACTGACATGAATGTGAGTTATACAATCCATGGTAGCAGCATAAGGTAAACGTAACCACCAGGACTTCAAAATTACAACATTGAAATGCTCCCTCATGTTATTTTGGAATATATAAATGTTATTTACTTAGTAAATCTTCTTGTAATTTCAAAAATAAAATACGTTATTCTGAACAGTATGTTAAACCTGTGGGACGCTATACCGAAATTACATTTCCGTACAGTAAAACTGTTTTTCTTGAGAGTCTAAAGTTTTAAATGTCTTTTGTCACCAGATAAACGTGGGAGAAAGGATCTGCTGTAACATTAATTGTGTCTGCTATGGTCAACATGGCAGAAGAGGCCTAAGAGGTCCTGCAGGCTTTGAGGTATTCATAAACAAGTGTGCCACTTTCAGTAATTCCCTCCAACATAGAGTGTCACGTAGTGTCGCATCAGTGTTACCTTCACATTACAAAAGCTTCACATGAAGATAGATTGTCATGTGTCAATCTCATAACTAGATTGATCGAAAATTGGTTAAAGCAGACCCAAACGTCGCACCTCCTAGCTCTGACATTCCTACTCAAGACACCGGTGGTGTAACCATCAACCGTATCAGAACATCACCAGGCCAATGCACGCATCTTCTTCATGAATGTTAAAGTAAAGACAAGCCACAATAGTGCGTTTGTGGCCATGCAACCCAAACCATGGACCACATTGTAATCCACTGTGGTCTGCGCTACTTCAGTGGAACAGAAAATCTACGCAAACTCTCTCTCTCCTGAAGCCCTCTCATTGTGGCCAGCAGACCTCGCTATTGGCATTTAGCTCGCGGACAAATGACCATCTTTCAAGAACAGTTAAAACATACAAGAGAGCAAACATGTTTTTGCTGCACAGTACATACATTGCACGGTTGTCTACGTGTGGCGCCAAAGAAGTACAACACACAGACATTGCCATAAACTCCCTCTCCACCCCCCTCCAATACAGATGTTTGAAGGATAGAGCCCCTTTACACGATGTTATAAACCACTCTTATTCATGGCCTCTGGGTGTCTTTAAAACAACAGCCCATTCTGCCATGTAAATAAACATCCACATCCCACATTCATCGTATGCAGGGCTCTCCGGGTGAGACGGGCACATCAGGGCACCCTGGCGAGGATGGCAGCAATGTAAGTTAAACACTTCTCTTGCTTCTTATGCACCATGATCACGTGAGTATATAAACTGTATATACTGTCCTGTATTTATAACGATGATTAACTGTTATAATATGCATGGGGGTTATATTCAGTGACTCAAGTGGTTCAATTAGTGGATTCAAAGGTTTTTTAAAATATACAGCCATCTCCGGTTTATTATGGAAGATCCACATTTACGATGGTTATTTAATGTCACCATGGGTTGATTTACGACACAGAAACTTGATTTACGCCGCATCTTCCCACACAACTCCGAACACATTTGAACGGAGCCAGTCTGGTTTCGATGTGATTTGGTATGGAGATTTTGCTATTCTCAAGTGTTTTTTGTGGATGTGTGCCTATTAAACCCTGTTAAATACGGATGGTAAAATGAAAAACACAGTTTCAACTGTCTATGGGAAAATAGGGTCCGATTTACACCTGGGTTTCCAGGAACTCGTGCCGTGTAAGCTGGGACTGCCTGTATATAATGTTGTTGCAATGCTAATCACAGCCTAAATGTTGTCACAAATGCCAACACAATGATCAAAACAGCAGGAAAAATTGTCAAACTTTAAGCAGAGCTCTTTAAACTTGGAGAGACTGGTCCATGCTTTTGTGTTATCCCGACTGGACTACTGCAATGCCTTACTGGTTGGGATTCCGAACAAAGTACTGGGCAGACTCCAACTTGTTCAGAATGCAGCTGCTAGAGTGCTTACACGTGCACCATTCCGTGAGCAAATTACACCAATCTTCTTATCTCTTCATTGGCTACCAGTCAAATTCCGAGTAGATTTGAAGATACTGCTATTAACCTGTAAGGCTTTAAGATGGTTCACCCCACATTACTTGCAGGAACTGATACAATTATATATTCCATCAAGGTCCTAAAGATCTTCTGATCTACAACTGCTCAGCACTCCCAGATCTAGGTTGCGCCCTTTTTGGTGATCGGGCTTTTGTTAGCGTGTTACCCAAGCTATGGAACGCCTTGCCACTTCAAAACAGGCAATCTGAGTCGGTAGATGTATTTATGTCTGCGCATTATACATTTGAATTATTATTACCCCATCTGCACTTGATGAAGACTTCTTTTGAATCCAAATAGCTTTGACACATGTCTGGCTTTGACCCAGGAGGGTCCAGTAATTGCCATTTCTGTGGTGAGTGGCAATAATTATTTTTACCAAGATCTGGTAGTGGTATTGATGTGTTGAACTTTATGACAGTACATCGCACGGATTAGATAGACCTACGTCTGGGGATTGGTCTGCAGTGGAAAAGGTGGCAACACTATTTCCGACCATGTGTGGGGGCATGGACACAATCAAATATTAATGTGGCCACAATGCTCAGTAATCAAAAATGCGATTTTGAAAATGTTGGGTGGAAAAAAATACAATGGTCAAATTGATTGCACACTTGGCGAAACCAGATGCCTGGCCATATCGGCAAGGTGGGTGACAGAACGTAGACGATATATTATTGCAGCAGTGGGCATCTGGGAAAACACGTTTGATATTATGTGGAACTCTGGAGCAATGTAAACCTGTCAAAGCGGGTGCTAAAACAATATCAATTGCTACTTTAATCCTCTACATACTGCGATTGGCTATTCACAAGTGTTAAAATGTCACTTTAGTATTCCCTCGTTATTTACGAGGGATACGTCCTGGAGATGCTCGTGAATAGCAAATTTCGTGGATAATGATATTGGCCTATGAAAACCTATCTTTGCAATTAATTACACTACCTTAAATAAATACGTAAATATGCTATTAAATACATGAAAATTATCATAATGCAAAAAAAATATTTATGATAATAAACATAAAAAAATATTTAAGTAGTAATTTATAGTTCGTAAATTAACTTACCTTAAATTATGATGCTGCTGCACATCATCACTTTATCTTATCACTTTCTCTCATCACTTTCTCGCATCTCATACATTTTTTCTCGTGTAGATTTCCAGATGCGATTCGCGGATAGCCAAAATCGCGGATAACAAGTTTGTGAATAATGAGGGAATACTGTACACACAACATGGCTACATGGGCAGCAATTGTGTCATTCCAATGCTGGATATGGGTCTCCGTGCATCGTGCAGGTTATGGGAGTCGTTAGACCATACCTCACCATTGCGGTTCGTACTGGTTGGTGAAGGTGGGAACATAGATGCTGGGGCTACTGTCTCAGCTTTATTCTGAATAATGTAATAAACTTGGATTTATTGATTCCACCTTGGTGGAGTAAATGTGGAGGTACTTCCATCTTTTCCAAGATATCTGGCCAGCGTGGAAGAGTAGGCCAAATACATTATCGAGGGGCTCTCCAGAGTTCCATTTCGTGAAGGCATTTCCACCAATTGTCATGAGCAAGCAAATTGCAGGACTCCACTTTCACCGCACCTCCGATTGGCATGGTTAGCTACAAATGGTGCGGAAGAGGTTCAACATACCGTACATGTGAAGTGTCAACGATTCAGAGACAGAGTTTCTAGGAGGCACTTTCTTTCTTAACAATTTTCACAGTCTCGTCCGCACACTCTCCACATGAGCTTAGCCTTGCCTGTACACAACACAAGCCGTCTAACACTGACGGTGCTGACTGAGATAGCCAACTACTATCCTTCATAGCGCAATATCTAGCGGAGACGTTTAGTGACGACGGCGACGAGACGACAGCAACGACGAGATGAGTCCATTCCCAGAACCGGCAGCCTCGAGCCCCCTCGCTCCCGGCTCCTTTTATGCTACCAGCACGGCCTGGCTCCGCACCTGACCGCGCCTCCCTTCTCGAACCCGCTAGCAGGTTCCAGGGGCCTCCAGATGGGGTCCTCCGTGACCCTTACTCTAGTTCCTCTCTCTGCCTACACCCCGTGCACGCCCTCACCGGCGTGTGTACTGTTTGTCCACCACAGCTGCCGCTGCTGACCAATAGCCAGTACTATTACACTACACATATATTACCGTTGTACAATAGGATAAGTCATGTTTCTTCAGTGCCCTCCGCAGACAACTTAACCTCGCAGCAGCCTCTAGCACCAGTTTAACGCATGGTCACCACCCATTCAAGCCCTGTCCAGGCTTAAACCTGCTGAGCTTCTGAGCTCTGACGAATTCGGGCACATTCCTGGTGATTTGGCCACAGGTGTGCACAAAATAAAACAAAATAGAAAAACTGCATCGATCACTTGCACAAGCAATTTGTTGAATGCATTGCAGAACTTAACAATTGATATGAATTGGTGAATCAATGCCCTCCTAATACATATAGTCACAAATAGCGCTGCAATGTACCGTTTACAACACTCTCTGGGAACATAGGGAACGACGTTACATACCACATAGAAGCGAATGTGAAGATGGGCCGGTGAAGCCTTGATGTCAAAGGGTGGTTCTCAACCTTTTTGGGATGGCGGCCCACCAATCAAGACCACCTGACCCCCCATCCCCCCAGGTTACGAAGGCCACAAATACTATAGAGGTCACATGTCCACACCTCGAGTCGTCGCGGTGTTAGTAAAACGTGGGCTCCATGTTGTGTGCACGTGTATTTTGTGTTCATAATCCATTCGTTTCAGCTTACGCATCAGTGTGCGTTTCCCGCAGCAATGTGGCGCTGACGTTCTCTGCGTACATTCGACATTTGTGCTGCACGGTATCCATGCTGCAGCCTGTGCACCTTTTCTTGACAGGCATCACCCCTTGGGTGGAGGGTGGGGGGACTGGGGGCACAACCTAGTGGCGAGATGGCTACCGTGGTGGCGAGATATTAACTATCTCGCCTGGTATACTGGAGGTCGTGGGTTCGAATCAGATCCTTATGCATGTATAGTTGGAGTTTTAATGTTCTACCCCGTGGTTGTGTGGAATTTTATCCGGGTGCTCCGGTTTTTCCCCGCCACATTTAGAAAACATGCGTTCAGAGCATTTGGCTGCTATAAATTTCCATGTGATAAGCCACTTCATTGGGCTATCATTTGTGGCCATGTCGCTCATGAAAAAGAGCTATATAGCTCAGTGGGCCTTTCCTGGTAAAATGAAAAAGAGCTGAGTTTAACCCACGGGGTGTGAAGATGCAAACTGGTATTCATGTTATGGTGTTTCGTAGACAATTGGCATTACCCCAGCGACGTTTCTAACTCTACCTCGCTGGTCAGCCTGACATATTTCCAAAACTTTGCATTTACTGGACTTTATCAGCAAAGTCTGTTCCACCATCCCTTGAATCAATTGACCCACAATCCTAACATTGCTGTCATATGGACACAGAAATGCCATACACAGGTAAGAAATTGGCCGCAAATCTCAGTACTGTGAACAACTCAAAATTAAAAAATATATTTTGCAGAATTAAGTTTGAATGGCAGATCCATTTTGATGAATTGTGTATACAATACTGTAATAGTATGTTCTATAATTCGGTAGTTGTGTCGCTGAAGAACACCGTGTTATGGAACAATTGCGTTATAAATAATAACATATAATATAGGGTAAAGCACAGTCCGCGATAACGCGTGAGATGTGTATGCAGGCTGAACAAAGACTGAGGCATCTGGGTAGCATCTAGAAGCATCCAGGGGCATCCCGCCTTGTGTAATGCTATGCCGAGGCAGCCATACAACCGCTTATTTCTAATCTTTGGTTCTTTCGGTAAAGTCACGTAGTTATAAAATGATAAAATAAATTACGACGTTTCGATCGCAACACAAGCGGCCGTCCTCAGGTGGAAAAAAAATAATCCCGCAGTGGAACTGCTGAACCAGCGAGAGAGCTGTTACAACACGAGGTTATAGATGTGGCGATGGGCAAGCAAGCGGGGTCTGAGCTGGAAAAGAATTCCATCCACGGACGCAAGCACGTCAGTTGTGTTAATGGGGGAGATTAGGGAGAGAGGGATTAGGGAGAGAGATTAGCATGAATGAGCTTCCGTCGCCGCATAAGAGTATCATGCCCGCATATGTGCACAGCAGCAGTGTTAATGGGAGATGAGCACCATGAGAGTGCAATCCAAAGGACATGTGAGCATGAGAGGTGCAATTCAAAGGACATGTGAGCATGAGAGTGCAATCCAAAGGACATGTGAGCATGAGAGTGCAATCCAAAGGACATGTGAGAGATCTCAGTTCGGTTCACTCGTGTTATATCCAATTCGCAGCCGCGTTATAAAAATGTGTTCCCTAACAGATGAATCGCGTTATATCCAGTTCGCGTTATGAAAACATGCTTTTATAGCAGAACATACTGTACAGTGTTCTAGACGCAGTGGCTCCGCATGGCTTCGAGTGATGCTTCGTAGCGCTGTACTGTGACATCAACTCGAGTGTCCACCCTGTAAACTTTGAGACTTTGGTGCTGAGTAAGCATAACCTTGCTATACTGTTGTTTACAGGGTGTGAGAGGACCCACAGGGGTTCCAGGATACCAAGGTGGCCAAGGTTGTCAGGGCCCCAGAGGCGTCAAGGTAAACGCATGAACGTTATCACTGGATTATGGGTGCAGTATCTGAATGGCTTCTACACTTGATATTTATTCTCTCCCATCTTCTCTAACTCCGTCAAGTAAAATGTACCCCAAGAGAACCCGAACCCATTTCCATTTTAGGTGGTTAACTCTCAAAAGTCCCTGCAGCCAGGCCATGCCATCAACTTTCTTCATCGTAAGCTCATGGGTGATTAACGCACAAGATTGTTTATATTTTGTACGCTGAGACCAATCTTTATTTTACTGAGGTAAAGTATCCCTTCTCCCGCCTTAGCAATGTGGAATGTCTGACACGGGCTTAGGTCTTTATAGGAGAGATGCACCACCCTACACTAGCTTAAATGAAGATCCAATGTTGATATTTTCTGGTCACCCCTTGTCGGACTTCATTCGTCAGGACTCAATCCCACGCACGGGACATCTGCAGCGTCAATCCACCAAGCAGCACGAGACTCAGTGAAATCAAAGCCACTCTAGGGTTTTCCTTTATTGAACACGTTTCGTTGCGAAACATTTGTCTCAGAGACTGAAATTCCCATTGATCAATGGATGCAATGTAACTTTGTTCATCACAGGAACAGAGATGTCGTGCCCATTCTTGTTCGTTGTATGTTCTTTTTATTGCTGATATGAAACTAATCGCAAACAACCTTGTGCTTCGAATATAATCCACAGAGATGATTTATGCTGAATCATAACCACTGCTTTTATTTAATCATAACCTTAAGTGAATGAAGTTAACAGCCAACTGGGCACTATGAGCCATGACCGATGTTTTTGTTTTGCTATAAAGGTGTTGATAAAGGCATAGACACATCATTTTGGAAAATATAACACGTGCCTAAACTTAACGCATGTTTAGAAACATGCGTTAAGGGTATTTGGTTGCTATAAACACGTGATAAGCCACTTCGGTGAGCTATCATTTGTGGCCACGTCGCTTCTAAAAAAGAGCTCTTCAGCTCAGTAGGCCTTACCTGGTAAAATATAAATAAATGTATTAGTTTAAAGTCTTAATGAGTCGAAATTAGAAGAAACACATGTGAACACACAAAATATTACACAAATACGGGAAACAGAATTGCAAAACACGCTCCTCTGGGTGCGTGACACACAAGCTTTGCTATTATCTACATGCCCTCAATCACTTGCCGTGTTTCCAAACCAAAGCTCATTCGGACATTACTCTCACCGCTACACATCGTGTATGGTGTACTACTAAAGTGTTTCCATGCTGGTACTGAGTTGGGTTATTTAGACCAATGCCTGTTTGAGCACTTCATGGCCCTTAGGGAACTGGAATAACAAAACACGAGAGAATAACACTTAAAAGTCTATGTACTGTATTTGGATGAGTAACCTACTTGCTGTACGCCCCTCCCCCATGCGCGAGGTGTCGCGTGGGCTCCGGCCAATCAGAAACGCGCGCGAGGTTACGCGAAGCGGCGCAGCCAATCAGAAACGAAGGGACCAGGCAGACGAACAAAGCCGTCATATTTTGTGTATTTGATCGTGAAACGTTTTTTTTATAATGCGCTGTTCTCTGTATTTGTGTCTAGGGTACTCGTGGAGGCCAAGGCCAACTGGTAAAAGCGTACGCTTTTATCTTGTATGACTGTGAACACCGCGGCTCGGGCTTTAGAAGAGTTATACCGCAATAGCAACAGAATAAATGATTCATATTCTTGGTTCTTTCGGTAAGTCACGTTGAAGGGAAACAAAATAATACAATATATATAAAACAATAAAATTCTCACGACGTTTTGACTGCAACACAAGTAGTCATCATCAGGTGTGAAAACCAACGGTAAGAACATTTGAAAGAAGTGGCGGTTTGTATTTATTTATTTTTAAACGTTAGCACCACGGATAGCGATTTGACAGTTTGTTTAAATGGACGAGTCCATCTATGTTCGGAAAAGAGGGGGAGACGAAAAATTAATGTATGTCTGAAAGCCACCGTAAGCGTGAACAATCAATTAAGACCCGAAATGGTTTATCAAATCCTTCCAATGATTGCTAAGCCAGAATACATCTCCTCGGTTGAAATTGTCTCTGTGTTTGTATATGTGGATAGCCTCATGAACGAATCTCTCATGGTAGCCAGATGGCTTGCAAATAACCTCTGTCTTGGAGAAGTCAATGTCATGTGAGCCTACTGAATTATAACAGTGATCTGCCACGGCCGAGGTGTTGGTCCTACCGTGTTTAAGGTCTGCTTTGTGTTCACGAATGCGGTCCGAGACGTATTTTGGTTTCTCCAATGTAACTGCTACCACAGAGGCAACTTAGTTTGTAGACACCAGGGTACTGTATGTCCGGAATCACATCTTTTACAGATGGAACCAGATCACGGATTTTATGTAATGTGTTGAAACGGACCTGGATCTTGTGTTTGTTCAAGATTTTGGAGATCTTTTTTGTGATCCCCACAATGTAGAGTAAAGTGATGGTTTTGAAAGGCTCCTCAAGAGGGTCCTTCTTCATGGTTTGAGTGATAGCTTGGTGGATTGTATAGTCGGAGTAACCATTAGCCTTAAGAGCTTGGTGTACGTGCTTGAAATAATAAATGATGTTTGCCACGTCGCATTCTCGTGTCACGAAACAGTCACATTGTATGGGGGTGAATGTTAACGTCCATCGGTTGAGAGCAACTTAAATTCTGCTGTTAGGCATACGTAGTTCTTTAAACAGGAAAATGGCCACTTAATCTTTACTTCTTCCCATCCGAGATCTTTCGGAAGTATCTCCTTTAACTTTCCTGTAAGTGTACACTGAGGAATGCAATCAGCTTTCGGTAAATGGTGCTTTTCCTGCATTCTTATATATCACAGTATTACAGGAATAACGCAACAGGCCAAACACGAGACTAGTAAAAGACAATTGAGAATGTGTCAAAATGATCTGCTGACAAATTATTTTGCTGAAATTTGTCAAATTTATCAATTTTGTGCAAACTGCAGTGTTCTGTGTGTGGGAATAATTTCTGTGTTGAGCAGGGAGCAGCAGGAGATCCTGGCTTGGACGGAGTTAGTGGGGAGAAGGTGAGGACTCCTGTGATTGTGTAGCATCATCTTTTGCTGCTTCCAAATCATAAATGCAATGCTGTCAAAATATGTTTTCTATCTGTCTCGATCACGAGATGAAAGATACATTCGGAAATGTATTACAGCACAACCCTATGTTTCAGAGACCAGCCCACTTGAAGGGAATTTTCAGGGGATTCCTCTTGCAAAATCCTTCAAGTACATGAGACCCCACAAAATCAGATTGTTGCATGGCAGTGAAACCATTATTTTGAAATTGTTAAATCTGGAAGTAAACTATACTCTTTGGTTCTTTCGGTAAAGTCACGTAGTTAGAAATAAAATAAAACAAATCACGATGTTTCGATCGCAACACAAGCATTTCTATCGCAACACAAGCGGTGTTGCGATCGAAACGTGATTGGTTTTATTTTATTTCTAACTACGTGACTTTACCAAAAGAACCAAAGAGTATGGATTCCTGCAGTCACGAAAGCTTCAAATCAAGATTGAACCACTTAAACTATTTTGTGGCTGACCAGATGGAATACTAGATCTCAGCTGCGCCAGCTTAGACATTTGAGCCACAGTCACCACAGCGGCTTGAACTTATATTGTCTCTGAGCACTAGTGTCCTCTCACAAAAGGTGGCCAACCGTGTTAAACAGAGGTGCTGCGGAAAGGACAACGGCCAAAACACAAAGTGCAATGTAAAATTTGAATATGATTTTGTGTGCGCAGTCATGAGTGACTGGGAATTCGGTTGAACCATGTGTGGCTGCTCTCATTTGAATCCAAGTTCCCGGCAGTGACTTCTGAGCCACCGGGAAACACTTATGATTTACATGCCCGATTTGGTGACTTTGTGACTCAGCTCTCCTGAGCCGACACAGCTGGGATCTCTTGTTTAATTTGGGCAACCACAAGAATTGAATTATGGTCCCAGCCTCGTCGCAAAGTCCTACACAAAAATACTTAGTGTAAAAATGTTGGTTTGCCATTAAATCGCGTATATACTGGCTTTCATTCCCCATTACTTAAATCCATTTTCGTCATTGCCATGAATTTCACTTTCATCGAATTCACGCAGCACAGATTTTTCAATTGCTTCCTCATCTATTTCATTCACCTCATCTCCACCATTACCATCCATATGTAGCATTGTTAATTCTGTGTAAAGCGCATAGCATAAGGCCCTTTATAAATTCCTTTAAGATTACATAAGATGTTCCAGCTCTGAGAGTTAAATATTTTATCTTGCAATGTTACCAACCCTTTTACCACGTATATTTTTTTCAGGGCAGTTATTTGACAACTCTAATGTACTTAATAATACATTTCATCATCTTATAACATGATACTGTTACCACAGTTCAAGTATAACTGTATTGTACTTTCTTTTGATCAAACACACACACACGCAGGGAGAGAACATTTACACTCCATACAGAGCAGTCACCTATTTCCTGTACTGCCGTTTGCACACACTACCTCATCCAAAAATACACTACGCTTTGTCTGATGGAGCTAGAGTTCATTAATAGTGACAACTGATTAATACACCGAGATCTTGGTCAGTTTAATATTACTTATTGCCCATTAGCAAGTTTCCTGCTGGTAGCTGCAGATGACAACTGTAGCATGCAGGAGTGAATACCGCTTGTGCAATGCTGTATATTATAGATGCCTCTAGTTTTCAAAGTGAAAATTTGGGTGATGATATTAGCATGCAATTAATTATCATTGTGAATGCTATCTGAGGGTCTTATGCCCATTTTATATCAGACGTCATTCTTTGGTTTCATTGCACACCTTTACAGAGTGGCCGCAGGAACGGTATAGTGTATACTGGCTCAGTGGCGACTATGCTAAACACCAGTTGTATACAATGTTCTGTATACACATGTCCAATACAAGACACGTGCATATAAACTTACTGCAATAAGTTGTGTTATGTTATTTCCCAAAGGGTGGCGATGGACTGCCTGGTTACCCTGGGAGCAAAGGAAGGCCTGGAATACCGGTAAACTCTGCATCTGACTGAAAATTGCACCGTAATAAAATATTGTGATTTCATGTGTGTGCAGTGGTCGACTTGACGTGAACAACTTTCTTGTTTTCTCCGACACCACTTTTATTACAACTCTTCACATTACGTCTGTGACTCCGTCATTCCGCTTAGCCGCAGCTCGCTCGCCGCCCGTCCCGCTCACTCTGCTTCCTCCCCTATCCCTCACTGTCCCTCTGCGTCGTCCCTGTCTCTCTTTGTCGCTCGATGTCTCTGTCTCTCTCCGTCGCTCACTGTCTCTGTCTCTCTCCGTCGCTCGCTGTCTCTGTCTCTCTCCGTCGCTCGCTGTCGCTGTCTCTGTCTCTGTAGAGAAAGTTAGGAGCGGAAGTGTAGTGGTTAGCGCTACGAATCCGGCAACCCAAGTTCGATTTCCGCTCACGGCCAACACCAGTGCCGATTATCTGAACTGGTCTGGGTCTCCCCTAGGTCGACTCAGCCTCAAATGAGTACCTAGTGCGGTATGTACAGTGAGGAAAAAAAGTATTTGATCCCCTGCTGATTTTGTACGTTTGCCCACTGACAAAGAAATGATCAGTCTATAATTTTAATGGTAGGTTTATTTTAACAGTGACAGAATAAGAACAAATTATCCAGAAAAACGCATGTAAAAATTGTTATACGTTGATTTGTATTTTTATTCTTGGTACTTTCGGTAAAGCCACGTTGAAGGGAAACAATAAAATATATATTATTAGTTTATTGTTTCCCTTCAACGTGACTTTACCGAAAGAACCAAGAATATGAATCACTGCAGTCACGAAAGCTTTAAATCAAAATTTGATTTGCATTTTAATGAGGGAAATAAGTATTTGACCCCTCTGCAAACCATGACTTAGTACTTGGTGGCAAAACCCTTGTTGGCAATCACAGAGGTCAGATGTTTCTTGTAGTTGGCCACCAGGTTTGCACACATCTCAGGAGGGATTTTGTCCCACTCCTCTTTGCAGATCTTGTCCAAGTCATTAAGGTTTCGAGGCTGACGTTTGGTAACTCGAACCTTCAGCTCCCTTCACAGATTTTCTGTGGGATTAAGGTCTGGACACTGGCGAGGCCACTCCAGGACCTTAAGCCACTCCTTTGTTGCCTTGGCCGTGTGTTTTGGGTCATTGTCATGCTGGAATACCCATCCACGACCCATTTTCAATGCCCTGGCTGAGGGAAGGAGGTTCTCACCCAAGATTTGACGGTACATGGCCCCGTCCATTGTCCCTTTGATGCGGTGAAGTTGTCCTGTCCCCTTAGTATAAAAACACCCCCAAAGCATAATGTTTCCACCTCCGTGTTTGACGGTGGGGATGGTGTTCTTGGGGTCATAGGCAGCATTCCTCCTCCTCCAAACACGGCGGGTTGAGTTGATGCCAAAGGGCTCCATTTTGGTCTCATCTGACCACAACACTTTCACCCAGTTGTCCTCTGAATCATTCAGATGTTCATTGGAAAACTTCAGACGGGCATGTATATGTGCTTTCTTGAGCAGGGGGACCTTGCGGGCGCTGCAGGATTTCAGTCCTTCATGGCGTAGTGTGTTACCAATTGTTTTCTTGGTGACTATGGTCCCAGCTCCTTGAGATCATTGACAAGATCCTCCCGTGTGGTTCTGGGCTGATTCCTCACCGTTCTCATGATCATTGCAACTCCACGAGGTGAGATCTTGCATGGAGCCCCAGGCAGAGGGAGATTGACAGTTCTTTTGTGTTTCTTCCATTTGCGAATAATCACACCAACTGTTGTCACCTTCTCACCAAGCTGCTTGGCAATGGTCTTGTAGCCCATTCCAGCCTTGTGTAGGTCTACAATCTTGTCCCTGACATCCTTAGAGAGCTCTTTGGTCTTGGCCATGATGGAGAGTTTGGAATCTGATTGATTGATTGCTTCTGTGGACAGGTGTCTTTTATACAGGTAACAAGCCGAGATTAGGAGCACTCCCTTTAAGAGTGTGCTCCTAATCTCAGCTCGTTACCTGTATTAAAAACACCTGGAAGCCAGAAATCTTTCTGATTGAGAGGGGGTCAAATACTTATTTCCCTCATTAAACTGCAAATCAATTTATAACATTTTCGACATGCGTTTTTCTGGATTTTTGTTATTGTCTCTCACTGTTCAAATAAACCTACCATTAAAATTACAGACTGATTATTTCTTTGTCAGTGGGCAAACGTACAAAATCAGCAGGGGATCAAATACTTTTTTCCCTCACTGTAAACATCGCCACTGGGGAAACAAAGGCGGCCGGGCGTGGTGCTGGCCACTCACCCCCGCCGGCCTTCATAAGCACTTGCTAAAAGCACTTGCCCCAACAGTATGTCAAGGGCTATACGGGGAATCGTTGTCTTTATATATATGTAAAACATACCTCGTAACTGGTATTGGGCCAGATGTTTCCCAATGCTGAAAAAATATCTGCTAATTTCTCAATAGGGATCGCAGATCAGCAGCAATATCACCTTCCTGCTGCAAAAAACCTGGCAGGTCCCTTCTGAACAAAGAGTCTTGAGACTCAAGTGAGGCGTTCGTGGGTCAACGAGCGTAATTATAATTAACGTGTCAAAATATAACGCTCTCGTACAGTAAAATGAAACCAGGTTAATGTATCTGAATATGTACTATGTAAGTTGGATTATATGCTGACATACAACTCAGAGTTAAACTCACGTTTACACTTTGGACACGATCGCATGTGAGTGGAAAGCCTTTTTGTGATGGATAGTGCCATTTATTATTTAAAAAAAACCCTTTGTGTGAAAATATGCATGTATACAATATAAAACGAAACACTGCGGGGGAGGGGAGCCGTTCCCAACATAATTGTGCAATTCCCAGCATTGGGTTGCTTCCACTGCATTGGAAAAGCCCCTATTCTAGATGTAGTTCTAGTTGTGATGTCTGTGTAGGCGCGCACGAGCGCGTGTCCTCGGCTGCCCCGTAACTCCAGCAAGATCGTGTTTCACTCCTCTGAGACGCGCAGAGCACAGCCAACTGTTCACCTTGGAACTGTGCGATATTTTTTCGGAACAGAATAACATATACAGTGAGTGAAAAGAGTATTTGATCCCCTGCTGATTTTGTACGTTTGCCCACTGACAAAGAAAAGATCAGTCTATAATTTTAATGGTAGGTTTATTTTAACAGTGAGAGAGAATAACAACAAAAATCCAGAAAAACGCATGTCAAAAATGTTATAAATTGATTTGCATTTTTATTTTTGGTTCTTTCGGTAAAGTCACGTTGAAGGGAAACAATAAAATAATAAAATAAAATATATTTTATTGTTTCCCTTCAACGTGACTTTACCGAAAGAACCAAGAATATGAATCACTGCAGTCACGAAAGCTTTAAATCAAAATTTGATTTGCATTTTAATGAGGGAAATAAGTATTTGACCCCTCTGCAAACCATGACTTAGTACTTGGTGGCAAAACCCTTGTTGGCAATCACAGAGGTCAGACGTTTCTTGTAATTGGCCACCAGGTTTGCACAGATCTCAGGAGGGATTTTGTCCCACTCCTCTTTGCAGATCTTGTCCAAGTCATTAAGGTTTCGAGGCTGACGTTTGGCAACTCGAACCTTCAGCTCCCTCCACAGATTTTCTGTGGGATTAAGGTCTGGAGACTGGCGAGGCCACTCCAGGACCTTAATGTGCTTCTTCTTGAGCCACTCCTTTGTTGCCTTGGCCGTGTGTTTTGGGTCATTGTCATGCTGGAATACCCATCCACGACCCATTTTCAATGCCCTGGCTGAGGGAAGGAGGTTCTCACCCAAGATTTGACGGTACATGGCTCCGTCCATTGTCCCTTTGATGTGGTGAAGTTGTCCTGTCCCCTTAGTATAAAAACATCCCCAAAGCATAATGTTTCCACCTCCGTGTGTGACGGTGGGGATGGTGTTCTTGGGGTCATAGCATTCCTCCTCCTCCAAACACGGCGGGTTGATTGATGCCAAAGGGCTCCATTTTGGTCTCATCTGACCACAACACTTTCACCCAGTTGTCCTCTGAATAATTCAGATGTTCATTGGCAAACTTCAGACGGGCATGTATATGTGCTTTCTTGAGCAGGGGGACCTTGCGGGCGCTGCAGGATTTCAGTCCTTCACGGCGTAGTGTGTTACCAATTGTTTTCTTGGTGACTATGGTCCCAGCTGCCTTGAGATCATTGACAAGATCCTCCCGTGTAGTTCTGGGCTGATTCCTCACCGTTCTCATGATCATTGCAACTCCACGAGGTGAGATCTTGCATGGAGCCCCAGGCAGAGGGAGATTGACAGTTCTTTTGTGTTTCTTCCATTTGCGAATAATCGCACCAACTGTTGTCACCTTCTCACCAAGCTGCTTGGCAATGGTCTTGTAGCCCATTCCAGCCTTGTGTAGGTCTACAATCTTGTCCCTGACATCTTTGCAGAGCTCTTTGGTCTTGGCCATGGTGGAGAGTTTGGAATCTGATTGATTGATTGCTTCTGTGGATAGGTGTCTTTTATAAAGGTAACAAGCTGAGATTAGGAGCACTCCCTTTAAGAGTGTGCTCCTAATCTCAGCTCGTTACCTGTATAAAAGACACCTGGGAGCCAGAAATCTTTCTGATTGAGAGGGGGTCAAATACTTATTTCCCTCATTAAACTGCAAATCAATTTATAACATTTTCGACATGCGTTTTTCTGGATTTTTGTTATTGTCTCTCACTGTTCAAATAAACCTACCATTAAAATTACAGACTGATTATTTCTTTGTCAGTGGGCAAACGTACAAAATCAGCAGGGGATCAAATACTTTTTTCCCTCACTGTAAACATCGCCACTGGGGAAACAAAGGCGGCCGGGCGTGGTGCTGGCCACTCACCCCCGCCGGCCTTCATAAGCACTTGCTAAAAGCACTTGCCCCAACAGTATGTCAAGGGCTATACGGGGAATCGTTGTCTTTATATATATGTAAAACATACCTCGTAACTGGTATTGGGCCAGAT